ATGACCCATCATTCACATTTCATATCTGCATGGTGCAGGCTGCAGGCACCATCCTTCGTCTCAGGGAGACAACCCATGACACTTGATTGTTACTTATGATCTTGATGCTTGACAAGACTTGCTCCATGCTGCTATTATGGGTGAGATAAGGGATCGAGCCCAAAATTTCTGAACGACCGCGACAAGTGCGACTAGGATCTCACATCTACGGTCTCACGCCAAAGGGCCGCGGTTGCCACGATCGAGACTGGCGATTCAAGTCAAGCGTGGCTGTCCGTGTGGGCTAGACTCGCATCAACTTGCAGCGATACAATCTTGAGTCTCAAACGTCGCGAGTTCGGCCTTGTCAGCAGGGACAGGTTACGTGGCAAAGCACAAGCAGACTCCGCGCTGCTATGACTGCTCACATCGCCACTCTCCTAGCAGAGAGGAACAGCGCTGGATGGTAGGAGCTCAAGACCGACAAACATCCGAGCTGATGCGCAGCTCGATCGCATGTCGATCAACATTTCTGGTAGCGACGCACCTGCGACGTACATGCTAGAAATTAGCCATCATGATCAGCAGCACTCTTGACTGGACTTTCACGTTCCGCGCTCGTCGCAACTGATACCAAAGTCTATAATTCGTGATTGCAAGTGGACTCTCGATTCAAGCGAACTCTCGATCGTCCAAGAGCAGAGAATGTTGTTGAAGATGCTTCTATCGCGTACAATTCCGAGTGCCTGTCTGGTAACGAGTGTTGGGGAGCTGATATTGCACGACGTCGTGGATGAGATTTGAGCGTCGCGCTGCCCAGCGTCCTCAGCGAGAACCTAACCATGGTCCCTCGCTTTCCCACACCTCATCCAAACAGCGCCCCAAGTGCAGCAGGACCAAAAGCCCCGCGCGTAGAGCGCGCCTGAACGAGGTGCTTGAAAGTTGGAAAAGGAGGAACGGATTGGTCGCTTGTTGTAGCGCCACCCCGTTCATAAGCTGTACGCGAACGACTGCTCGCTGCCTGTCAGACACCGCTAGTGCATGGTCAATGCCTGGGGCAGCATGGGGGGCGTTGTTGGTGGAAAGAGAAGAGCCATAGAGAAATCTTCGCGCGGGCTGAAAAGACAGCCCTCATGACGCGCCCGCCCGTATAACGCGGCGCAACTTGGTTGCGAGAAAGACCGTCACGTGACCTTGTTTTGCTTGCTTCGACTTTTTTGCAGCAATTCAAAATTCGGCTCTTGTCGAATCTGACTCTGTAACGTGGACAGGTCGGACGGTGCCAGGACGACGAGGGAAGCTTTCTTTTCTGGTACATACTCACCACTCTCCTGCCTCGATTGCGTTGCGCCCTCTTCGTCAGCTTTCGCCTTGTGCATCCTTCGCCAAGGCGTCCACATCGCAGACAGGTCGGCGAAGATGAGATGAGTCAAAGAGACGAGGACTTTTACAAGCTGCTTGGGGTTGAGAGAGGTGCATCATCACACGATGTCCGAGCTGCATATCTGGCCCAAGCCAAATTGGTGAGCTGGCTCGAATGACTAGAAGACTTGCAGCTGGATGAGAGAGCTGAGGATGCGACAACATGACTAGAATCATCCTGATCGCCTTGCTACAGGCCGCACCTCCGAGTCGGACGCTCGCATCAGAGCACTGACCCATGCTTACTCGGTGCTGAGCGACCCTAAAAGCAGAATCGATTACGATATCCAGCTCGACCATCACCATACCCTTTGCAATGCTGCGTCGTCAAAGCGGGCAGAATCACGCATCTCAGCTGTCATAGACATCGATGCGTTCGAGCTGCTGGAGCAAGAAGACGCAGACGATCTCCGTCCAGCTGCACCGCGCTTTGCATATCCATGCAGGTGCGGCAATCGTTATGCCGTCAGAGCTGATCGGCTCGAACAAGCTATGGATTCCACCGCGCGCGACATTGCAACGCAAGGCTTGCTCGTTCAATGCGGCGGCTGCTCGCTCGTGGTCAAAGTCACATGGTCCGAAGATGAAGTTCACGACAAGCCAGACTAGGAGAGCAGCAGCGCTTTCGCACCACCTCGAATCGCGCTTCAGCATCGTGGGTCCACTCTTGCTCTTCAGGAAGCCACAAAGGCCGGCAGGGCTTGATCAGTCGTTCGGTCATCAAGACGCGCACATTCAATCCGCTGCAGGGACGTCTCGCTGGGTTGCTGAGGAAAGTCTACCTCACCAGTCCACTGATGCTGCGCAGCCGTTCTGGGACATCAAAGAACGCCATAAACTTACCATCGAGGCCAGCTGTTTCTCTCGAGCGTCTTGGAAAACGTCAGGTCCAGACCTCACAGTTCGTAGGGTAAAGAGAAGCCCGGCGTCTGTTGTCCCCTCACTTACCTTTGCGTGAAACAGACGCATCGCGTGACAACCAAATCAAGTTTGCCATGGCATCCTCACACTGCAACACGTTGCATTCACTTGGGCTTGCTGAAGAAAGCGCTCAGCTTTTGCTGCCCAGGCTTT